ATATAGAGCTTCGTTGCTGTCCTGAGGTCTTCCGAGTGAGGGTCTTCCTCAGGTCACAGGGAGTCTTCCTGTTTGCGCTGGGATCAGCCCTCGCTCTAGCAGTCATGCACTCGCGGCACAAGTCAATTTCCTCCCAGATCAAGCTGAAAATGACTTGGAATTTTTCACTGCATTAAATACAATAGATGCTTTTACTGCTTCTCCCAATTGCCTGTCTCTTCATGTTAGATACCCTCCTGCAGGGACAAATGAGAAGCTAGGAGCTGCCAAAGTAATCCTTATTGACAAACTATAAATGAATATGATGATGTCCCACGTGATACTTTATTAAATGTATGGTCACTAAACTCACATTCCCCGTTTTACAAGCATGAATAGCCCTGCATAAAACGTGAGTTAAATTAAGCTACTGTTTGACGGCTCTAGTTTAATTCCTGCTTAAGAGGCTCTGTCATCTTCTTTCTTAGTAATATAGCACTTACACACTATTTCCGTAACACTAACATTTGTCAAATTTCAAAGCATTCATTATACTAATGCATGCAACATGTTTTTTTTCTTATCGTAGTAGTAGGGTTTCCTGTTTTTAAGAAATGCACGAAGGCATGTTGACTTCCTTTGACAAGGAAATCCACCTGCTGCATAGTGATAGTTAACATTTTTCCAAGTTGTATGTACCACAACACCAAAACATTCCAATTAAAGAATAATGGTTTTTAGAAATTAGTGCCATATTGTGTATTTTTTAAAAACATTTATTGGGTTTAGAAGAACCTAATGCAGAGGATGAATGGATTACATGCACCTATAAAATTTGTCGAATAGTAAATGCTACAGATAAAATTGCAGCACATTGCACCTGACTTGAGAAATCAAACAACCATGTTATTCATTAACAAACGGTATTCATTGCTGCTGTTTCTGCTTCTGCTCGCTGAATGTCTGTCTTTGTTTTTGCTTACCCTCAGACCTCAGGGCTGATTTTTGTGGAACTTTGTGCAATATCTGCATTATTCCTGAAATGGGAAGTCTGAAGACCAAAGAGTTTTCAGTACACGTGTGAGCTTTTTATATGTATATTTTTTTAAGTATTCCTTTCCCAATCTTTTACAAAAATAAATTAGAGCATTTCTAACATATTGCAAACTGTATTTGTGTGTTACTACCTCATTTACAGTATTCTACCAAGTTTGTTTTAGTAATGAATGTCTTTGCCATACTGTCAACTGTATTTTACTCTTGTGTATGAACAGCACTGTAACTCCTCCCCTTGCAAATCCACCCACACTTAATCCCCAGCTTGTCCTTTTTGTAAAGAAACCCTACTACCCCATTAGTCTAAATGTAATTAAAAATATATTCTATTTAAAATCTGTTAAGCTAACAATAAATGTTACAATAATATGGAAGGCATTTACTGTTGTGTATACATGATTTCGGAACTGCACAAAGCAGCGTACTGCCCCCTTGTGGTCATTTCCATACATTTTTGGCTATTCACGTCCGCAACATTTAGCCAAAGCTTTTGTCCAAAGTAATGTAGAGCAGTTGTGCTAAAAGCCTTACTAAAGGGTCCAGCTGAAAATTCCTTCACTTGCCACAGGTTTTGAAGCTGCGTCTTTCTGGTGTTTGTTAGCCTGTAGAGCTGCCCACTGCCACACTTCAGTCTTGCTGAGGAACCAAGTGTCACCAATTTTCAGAATGGTTTCCAAATCTTTTTCAACATTCAGGCAATTAGTTTTTAATTGATAGGTCATATGATCATGGGGGGCATTGCCCTATACAAAAATCAGCAACCTCTGTAGAATAGCTTGGGTGATCCATTCCTGCCACCACTCTCAGGCAAGGTTAGTTTGTGACAAGTCATCCAACTTCCATGACTAACAGATTCCCACTATGAAATATCCTTGCTGTTTTTTGTTGAATCTGTCATTTTCCATTGTTAGCAGTGATCACACCACCTACTGTGGATAAAGAGAAAGATGGAGGTGGCTGGGACACTTTTTCAGGCTCCAACAAGGAATGTCACTAGACTGAACATGTCAGGCTAAAGGTGCGAGTTTGAGAGTACAGAGAGTGCTGGGTGAGGCCCAGTACACAAGCTCACAACTCTATACTAACCTGCTTTAGAGCAAGGAAGGACAAAAATGGCAGGAGTCGCTAATACAGTTTTTAAAACTTTTTTTAATGTTTTTAATTTTTTTTCTTATTTTTTAAATTATTTATATTATCTACAAAGTAAAAGTTATTTAACTTAAAGTTACATAACTGTCTGGTCAGAGGGTCACCTCAGCAATCACGAGTCATAAATAATCCACTTTTCGCCAAACGGGTTAATTTTACAGACATTTTGTTTAGTTTCAAGTCTGGTGACGAGTTTTTATCCATGTTGAATGCAGCAGTAGCAGCAGCGATTAACATTAATGTTAATACTTTCTTTAGGTTGGAAGATTTTTATTAGCTTACAAAGTGCAGAGGAGAAGTTCCAGTTATCAGCCAGCTGAACTGAGTTGGGCTGGGGGTCTTCAGCAGGCGTGATACCATTCCGCTTAGAGGGCGTCCTTGTGGTGTTACATCTCTAAGTCAAATATCCGTCCACTGCAAGTCGGCCTGTTAGCATTCCTAATTACTTGTACATGAAAGCAAACGTGTAGCATTATGAGAGAACATAGCCATCTCATTGCAGGGATCTGCAAAGCAGGCTGGAAGAGGAGGAAGAGGAGCATCTGGTCTTCAGTGGTCCCTACAACTGCTGTTGATGGTGGGGTTGCACTGCAGACAGAGGGAGGGGGGAAAGATCACATGGAATGAACAAAACTCAGCACCTCAAAGTTAGCTGTCTACCACCCGCAATAATTTAAGATAAGCTAGATGCAAGTATTCTATACAACATACTGGCTGATCTACACAGATTAACTCACTCCGCTGAGCAACAAACTCATTATCCCTACCAAGTACAAATGAAACATGGTGAGAGGGAACCGTATTGCTTTACTGCAGTTTCAACCCTGTGTGCATCCAAATCATTAGCTGCCAGTCTGCAAGCTGCGGGCAATCAGCTACTCAAGTTTTTTCATCACTATAGGATCTCGCTCACCGTTCAGAGGGCTAAACTGATGAGAAACTGTGCTGCAATCACCACCAAACTGCACTTTACACGGGCAGTCACTGCTGTCACTCCACATGCTGGGGTCGTGATTAATTATGGTGACCTTAGAATGCGGTTTGTGCAGCTTAGATACAATAACAAAAAACTGGTTACCACTGAACTGTCTGCGGTAAACCTAGAGCTACTAATCCATCAAACTGGCCAACTGCTGTAAAGCGGCTCACCAGGACCAGGACTGTGGCCCCCAGAGCGACCGGACACGGCTGTAACTGTGCACAGGTCCAGAAACGCTACCAACCTGGGGGATGTGCCATGTAGGAGAAGTGCGCGGTGGAAGACACAGGGATGGGGGGCAGAGCGCTCTGCGGCAGTGGGGGCTGGGGCCCGCCGGGCGGCTGAGTGGCCATCAGCATCATGGGTGGGTGGGACGGGGTGGTGTGGTGAGAGGGGACCATCCCAGACTGCATGTGAGCCTGCATCGCCCAGCCAGCCAGACAGGAGACAAAGGGAAACGACACTCACACACCAGACATCTGCAGGCAGACCTGTGAGCGACTCTCATAATGTTTATTGCAGTACAACAGAAAGAGACTTAGGCGACTGTTTGAACCCAAACTCACACAAGACACCTACTAGTGTCTGATTCAGTCGGAAATACAGCTGTGAAAAAAACTGGAGAACACTACATATTTTTAAACATTTTAAAATCCTGGTTTAATCATGGTTCTGCTGAGTGCAGGTTGCTTCCAGGTTCAAAATTTCTAATACAGCAGCACATAAGAATATGGCGAAGGAGGAGACACTGGGAACGACCAGAAACCAGCCAGGTAAAGGGCAGAAGCGACTTTCTAATGCCAGAGATGACCGTTAAACTCTGACAGTTTCTCATGAATCGTAGGATGTCAAGTGACCTTCAAAAGGAATGGGAAACATTAGATGCAGGGGTGAAGTGCACTGCTAACTATGAATTATCCATAGACACTCACCCATAAATTGAGAAATGAGTGAATCAAAAAATTGTTCTCTGGTCTCAATTTTTTTCTGCAGCTGTATATGAACAATCCTTACCTACAAAAGCTGTTGCAGATTAAGTCCAGATATGGGCCTAGCTGCACAATTTTACAAAGCCTGGTCCTCCAGGACAGCAGGGGGAGCTGAATATCAGCTCTTAATTGATTAACACTGTAAACCCCCTGAAGGCTCTTGAGGGATCAAGGCTGAGCAGGATGGGTGGCTCACCTGTGGCACGTGGGCCATGTGCGAGGGCGTGTATCCGTGCTGCACCTGCTGCGCGTGGATGTAGACGGCCTGCTGGGCCGACGGGAAGCTGGCCTGTGGGGACTGGGGGTTTGGCCCGGGGTTTATAGAGGGAGGGGTGGGCGCCAGGGCCGAGTACATCTGCTGCTGGGAGGGGTTACCCATGTGCAGAGCCTGCGCCGCCTGGTGCTGGGCGTGCTGCGCACATGGAGAGACCGTCAGCGTGAGGCCCCTGCTGGTACGTGGCTCCCACGGGGAAACGGAGACCCCTGGAACTCACCTGGACGGGGCTGGGGGCTGGGTGACTGCCTGCGTGCTGCCCCTGCTGCTGCTGCTGCCCAGTGGGCGTGGCTGAGGGCTGCGGGTGCAGCGCTGCCCCGGGGTGGCTGTACGGCTGCGGCATGGGGCCTGGAGACACTGTGGCGAAGCAGGGCGCCAGTCAAGGTGGGTGGCACCTCACCATTTATTTATGGTGTGTGTGTGTGTGTGTGTGTGTGGGTGGGGGCTTACCATACATGGTGTGTGTCTGCTCTCCATACTGGGTAGTAGAGGAGGAGACCAAGCTGGGCTGACCGTGAGCAGGGGGTGCCATCATTCTTGCACTGCCCTGCATCACTGGGCTGAACACATGCTGGGCCTGTGGGAGGGGGGTGGGGGGGTTGCATGAGAATCTGGCTATAGCAGGGGAGCACAGGGCTCGCTGAAGAGCAGGCGCTACCTGTGACTGGTAATGTGGCATCTGCTGAACCAGCGGCTGGCTGGTGAACTGCTGCGGGCTGCAGGTGAAGTACTGCGCGGAGTAGGCGGGGCTGGGGGCCACGATGGGCGGCCCCGCGGCTGTGGCCGGGTGCATCATGGTGGGCGTGCCCTGGGGGTGGTGCTGGTCCGGCCGCTGCTGGGGCATGCTGGGAACTGCAGAAACAGCGGCAGACACTAGTGCCCTTCCCACATGTCAGTTTGCACGTCGCCCAGAGGGAACCTGCTCACCGCTCAAAGGCATGACTGGAGGCTTCTCTCTCCAAGTTATCATACCTAATTATAATTAGGACATGTAATTTACCTCGAGGAATTTCAGGAGTAAAACGGAGTTCATAAATACAAAATAGCAGGGAAATTTCTGGAAAGTTCAGCCAGCATTCTCACCTTTACCTGCTCTATAGGGCTTAGTTTGGCTCACGGTCATGTGTGGCATCGGCACGTGGTACATGGCCGGGGGCTGCGGGGGGTAAAGACGGCAGGAGTGTTAGGCCACCCAGCACTTGGAGCTGAGTATCCCTCCCCCCTCCCCCCCGGAATGGTTAATTTACGACGGCCCCCCTGAATCGCACATGGGAAAATATCAAGCACGTCACTGTGCCGGAATGAAACATGCAAGGCTGAATGCGACTTTCACGCTGTCGCTACCATGTCGCCTCAGAAACTGAAACAGTTCATGAGTGATGAACTGGTTCATCAGAAAAAAAAACTGGAAAAGGAAAAAAAAAAAAACAAACAAAAAAAAAAACTAAAATCCCATTGCAAGACGAAAATCTTACAAGCTTCTTTTTTGCAATATATTTTGCTATAAAGCCAATAAAAACACAGAAGCACTGATAACAATGACATTAATCATATCCATGGTAATAATCATGACCAATTGCAATAAGAAAATTGGCAAACCAACATCCGATGGGAAATTATGACAAGCAAACTCAAACGTATTTCTGATAAAGAAGAAATTTGAGAATGTCACAAACCTTCCAGATAATGCTTTTCTAATGGGGAGACAGGAAAGGGAGGGGGGGGAGAAAGAACCAGACTTTAGTTTCTCTCGGTACGTCAGCAGCAACCGATGTTGGATCACCAACGGTTTCTTACAGCAACTTTGCAAGAACTCCCACAAAAGGGCTACGGCCATGAGTGACCTAAGGAGCACGCTTAGAAGCATGACCTCAAACAGGCCACGGAAACGGCAGTCACCCTACATCTGAAAATAAATACACATTTCAGCAAATTCTCAAAAAGAATTGAGATGAACGCCTTCATTGACTAAAAATGATGCAACCCGATTCTGCTGCAAGCATATTCTGAGGCTCAGGTCAAATCATTGTGAATTACAAATACAAGGGGGGGGGGGACTGAGGCTAAAGACAGAGGGTGTTACAGACACTGGGATGGCATCTTAAACCACTACCCAAAAAGTTCTCAAACTAATTTGGTAAGAAATGCTAAAGATGCTACATGCAGACACAGGTAAACACACAAGAAAAGTATAGGAAGAAATGCCAGTCCATAGACTCCGCCTTCGTCAGGTTTAAGCCAATGAGAGGCAGTCCAAACCAAACAAACTGTTACCAATCAGGAACTGGCAGCGCATGAAAATCCCTCCCAGTCATTTTTCCTTCTCAAAGCTTAAGTTTCCACGGCCAGAGTGCGTGCTCAACTGAGACGGTCATGCAGAGTGCCGGAGCGCGCAGAGCAGGGGGCGGGGGGCTCACCTGAACTCCCGGGCTGACCGGGGTCAGCGGGTACATCTGGGGGAAGCACACGGTCTGGCTATACACGGTCGGGGGCTGCGGCACCACGATGGAGGGGCTCGGCTGGCCCTGGGGGCGGGGTGGGGTCGGCGTGGTGGCTGGCTTAGGCTGCGGGAGAGACAGCACAGCTACAGTGGACAGTACTAGGGTCTTAGAAATATCTTTTGAAGAGTTACAAAGTTGAACAACTGATGCCGATATTTGGTATAGATAAAAGGAGTTAGATGTAACAACTGAGCTTGCTATAATAGCTGCTGAAAACTAAAACAAGGGTGGTAAAAATTACATCTGTGGTACAAAAGTCATCCACCATGCAAGTTGTGTGTTGAAGTCTTATTACTCAACAAAGTAATATAATTCACAAAGATTTCTCATATAGCAATCCTAATCAAACTCCTTAATAGTATTAAAATTTTTATTTAAATACTATTACTATTTTATTTAAATTAATCTGTTTAAGAAATGACAAATTCAGATATGATTACTTAATCTCCTAATATTAAAATAAATAGATATAGATAGAGATAACTTATAAAATGTGTATATGAAGGAAAATAATTATGAATAAATGAACACTGCATTAGGTTTGCAAATCCTGAAGTATTTTTCCTGGTCACGACCTCCTGAAACTGAATGTTCGTGGCAGCCCTAGGGCATACCTGGGGGCAGAACACCCTGGGGTTGAACTCCTTGGCGTTGGGGTTCAGTGTCGACTTCCTCACTTGTCTGGGGATACAGGCAAAGAGAGCAGTCAGCCAGCTGGTTAAACTCCTCCCTCCTCGCCATTTGGGGGCACGTCCCCCGAAACGCAGACGCACTCTGGCACAGGGTCCTTCTTGTCATCCTTGACCTCTTTGCCGTCCAGCTTGCCGCTGGGGCCTGAGGTCTGCACGGCCTGCGAGGTGACGTCGGGGCCCCGCTTCTGCTCGGCCGTGATGCAGGGTCCGGACGCACCAGGGCTGCTGGGCTTGCTGCCAGTGGTGCCGCCGGCTGTGGGGGTGGGGCCCGAGGCCTTCTCCTCATTGGCTGGGGCCTCCGGGGCCGTCGTGCCACAGGACTCCGCCCCCCTGTCTGGAGGCAGCTCTTTGGGCTTTTCCCCCTGATCTCGCGGCTTGCTCATCTGGTCGAAGACGGAGGAGTCAGGGCTCGAGCTTGGCTGTAACTACAGGGAGGGTGGGGGAGGGGGATTACCACGCAAATCACATCAGCCAAAAACTGTAAGCAAAGCCCACACCCTCCATGAGGTGAAAAACTACACAAACAGCATAAAGTACATAAACAGCCAATAACATGTGGCTGCATTATCAGCCCCATCTCTTAACTGCACATACACCATCTACTAGGTATCATTAAGTATATATTTCTGTAATATACTGATTTTCAAGATTCTGTTTGTGTACTTTTCAAATTTGCTTGCACTCCGTTTACTTGTTTGCACTTATGTACTGTCTTTACACTTCGTACGTTAGCACTACATGAATGTGTTTGTGCACTACGTTCTCGTTTTGTATGCACCAGAATTTTCAATTTTGAGTTAAAATTACCAGCAGCCGGCCATACAGCAGCTGACAGCTAGAGCAGGGAGAGGCTTCTGTAGGCTAAACTATGCATTTAAATGCAACATTAACATGTAAAGCAAAGAATAATGATGCACAGATCATATTACAGCCTGCTTTCATTTCACTAGAATAAGTGCATTAATAAGTAAGCGTACCAAAAAGTTACAGACGGGGTACTTACTCTAAAAACTTGACTAAATTCTTTTAAATTGTCTATCTGTTTTCTATGCTCAGACGCCATGGCTGGGGGGCCTGCAGACACAAGGAAGAAGAGTTAGTCTACTGAACGCAGCACAGCAGAGGCATCAGTCACCACCTTTTAAGAACCAAAACTTCAAATCAGGACTGATCTGCTTAGCTAAAGGCTCCAGAGTGGAACCGACACGAGGGGGGGGCAGTGGCACCTTTGCTGAGGGCCCGGGCCGGGCCGGGCGACACCTCCGCCGGCTTCACGTTCTCTTTGTTGGCCACTGGGGATGCTGTTCGCGGCTCCTGTACCCGCGACTCTTTGGCTTTTAAAGAAAACAGACAGATAGTCAGTGTTCTGGACTTAACCCTACATAGAGCCCTGCACTGTTGGGGAGAACAGTGAACACAAAGTGAACGTATGCATCACCGGGGGCGGGGCTTACCCTCTGTCAGGGGCGTGGCAGCTCTGTTTGAGGCGGGGCTGGCAGCGGTGGGCGACATAGCAGATACTGGCGTGGCCACGGGGTCCACCGGCGCAGTTGCAGTCTGGGGGGAGGAGCCTCCGGGGGCGCCCCCCAGCCCGTTTTGCCGGGGAGACCGGGGTCTGTGTGCTTTGCGATACAAAACACATGTGCTTGAAGGTGCCTTGTGGGCACAGCTAGCGGCCGATTGGCTGCTCGGAGACCCTGTGCAGCTCTCACCTCCACTGACCACAGACGACCAGGTGCCTCCAGAGGGGCTGCTACGAGGAGGGGGGGTCGTGGAGACGTCTCCACTGTGGGCCATGAACTCTGGCCCAGGTGGCATGCCACCACGGGCACTGGGCATCCTGTGTGTCCGCGGCGTGCGCTGGGTCTTCGGGGACATCCGGGGGGGTCCTGCCACACAAGGGGAGGGATGTTTAATGGTGCTCTGTCACTGAGGGACAGAGACTGAGCACGAAGCGCGGAGACATCACGCACGAGGAGCCGTTTGGATAGGCGGTCACAACCAAAACTACAACCGAAGCAACAACCGAGCCCTGCTAGCCCTGGGGGGGGGGGGGGACGCCGGCAGTATCCAGAGCAGGTGCATCGAGGCCGGATGACACGGCACACTGGTCACTTCCACAGTGGCAAAGCCCGGCAGCCAGCCAACATCAGGGCAGTGCAGACAGCTATCAAAGACAAGACACGCGCGCACGCACGCGAACACGCACGCGCACACGCACACGCACACGCACACAGAGGCAGGGGACAGCATACGCAATGTCACCCTCACCCAGGATTTCACACTATGGGCAATTCAGAGACCAGCTCCCCCAAGTTCATGCTTACGGATTGCGGGCAGTAGCACAAGGGCACACAAATACAAGGGGATCCTGCCAACTCCACACACACATGGTCCTGGGGGTGTGATTTCAACACAGAAACCTGGGTGTTTGGGGCTGCAGGGGGAGCCACTGGGCCAGTTACTATCCTGGCTACGTACAGTTCATATAAAAACACACACACATACACTTAATATAATGCTAACATTGTGGGGACCCTCCATTCATTTTTATGGGCAATACCCTAATTATAACTATGATGACTAACTCTAACCACTACCCATCCCTAACCATAAGTAACCAAATGTGGTGAATACAACACCCCCCCCCCAACCCCCCAAACAAACACACACACACACACTTTTTTAAACATCTAACAAACATTTATGTAAAGAACACAACATATTTCATAGATGACATTATTCAAGCCACAGAACGATGCATGTTCACATCCCAGCATGACGTTGGCAGTCATGTGGTCCGAGACAGAGAGGGCGGGACTTGGACCTCAGGAGCATTTGGGAGATGGTCACAGTGGGCAGCAGGACTGGCACTGTGGTCACTACTCCATATTTACATGAGCTTAGCAGCTAAGTTCAAAGCCAAAGCTGAGACGTAACACTCAACCAAATGTGTTCAGATGAAAAGCTTTAAGTGGTGGCCAGTCTTACCCTCAAAGGGCCAGTGTGTGTGTAACCCTCAGACCCTCCAGCCAATCAGCCCTCTAGTAATCTAATTAGGGAGATACAGCAAAAACCCACATACACAGTGGCCCTTTCTGGATATGATTGGCCACCCCTGCTTTAAGGTGACCACAGAAAATGGCCCCTTGTGTTAAATCATTATCAAATCATTTAATCATCATGTAGAAAAAATAAAAGGAGAAATGTCTGTACCAATAAAACAACCAATTTTCTTTCGTTTTTAGATTTTTTACTGCCGCACTGGAATTAGTTTGATCTTAATCAAACCTTCGGCAGGTGCTTAATTATCTAAGAAACTAAGAAAACAGACTTGCAGGATCCAGGCCTAGGAAATACAATTCTTTCGGCAATTCATCATTGCCTGCAGTAAAGAAAGTGTCAGCAAATCGATGAGGTAAATCTGTTTATTGCACAGAGTGACAGAGGTAACAAATGAAGAGGTTACAGTTTCTCATATAGTCCAGACTGGATGATTCCCCCGACACAAGCAAAAGGCCCCAGGTCACACAGCCAGTCTCTGGGGAACAAGTGATCAAGGCCTTCTGTGATCATCTTCTCTAAAAGATGAGTAAATGGTTCCAGGAGGCCTCTGGATGCTCAAGGCTACCCCAGCCTCTTTCACACTCATTACAGGAGTGTAACAAACATCTTAGTGCAATAGGAAGCCCTTTCAAACATCCCCCAAAACACAACAGTAAACAAGGTTAATAACCGCAGGTGCAGGATCAGGATCCCTGTCCAAGGATGTCCAAAGTGACAAAATTCTGTTTTTTTCTTTCTTTCTTTTAAAGGGCAACGCAAACAGGAAGTTGCGAAAAATTCCTTCTGGAAGCAGAGGGCCATAACAACTAATAATTTGAACAATTCCACTCTTAAGAGGCTCCGGACTGAGGAACAACTCTCAGCGAACCCGGCGAGCGACAGCTAGCTGAGCGCAGGCAGCATTTGGCTGCTACCTTCTACAGTCTCAGACACCAAGAGCAGCGCAGAGCTCAGTGCTGGGAGAGCTGCACCCATTCAGACAGACACAAACCATCCATCAGTTCATCAAGTACAGCGAAAGGCCAGCAGCAAGCCTCCGACTAACACACTCAGCATACCCTTCCATACCAAGACTTCACAATATCTTCCTAAAAAAGTTCAACACGTGAAGTCTTTTGTGGAGAAGGGGGAAAACGGATCAGCTCGACTCATAACAATCAAAACAAACGAATCCTTATGTAGCACCAGTGATGCCCCCATGCACAGGCCAGGCAAAGGCAGTTAAACAGGAGGCTAGAAAGCCTGGGTGAGTCTGAGGCCCAGCACAGCTTGACAGGCCTGTGAGGGTGACATCAGGACAGTGGAAGTGACCGTCTGGTCACCCATGCGTTAAAGTGACCGAGTTAGTGTGTTAATATGCACCCCCAGAGTGCAACTGCACAGTGTGAGAACTGCCACAGGACCTACACAAAGAGCAGGCTGAGAGGAGACACAAGCAACAAGGACTGTTCCTCAGGTCACACAATGCTTTTTAATAAAACAAACACTCACGGTTAGGAAGTTACACACACCCTGGGAAAACCGAGCAAAAAAACAGCACCCCCTGCTGGGAGGGAGGAGAGAGGCGCCTACCGCGCCTTGCCGGTACCTTCCGTAGACATGCGTTTAGGCGCAGTAGAGACGGGAGCTGGAGAGCCATGAGCAGAGGGGTGAGACGGGGGCCGCGAGGGCCTGGAGGGGGCCCTGGAGGGCGGCCGGGTGGGTGTGGCGGCCCGGGGCGGGAGAGAGGTAGGGCCTGATGGGTAACGGGAAGGTGGGCGGAAGGAAGGAGATGGACAGGGCGATGGCCAGGGGGCACCTGACAGGGACAAACGAAAATGAAGGAAAGTATAAAACTAAAAGAAACCAATGACTGAGGAGGGAGGGGTACAGCTATGTGAACAAAGAATGGAGTGACAGATTAAGTATGTGAGCAAGAACTGAGGCCTGTCAAAGCATCAATCAAGCATCAATTAAAAGCTCATGTCAAACACTGCACTCTGCTGCCTTGTCTCTCTCCACATCTGCATTCCAGATTAAATTTAACCACGAAACCCGCTGCCCCACAAGACCAACGCCATGGACAACCAAGTGAGGACACAAACACCACAGTGGGTAAGGGGGGGTAACCTATGCTGTACGTTTATGGAAGGGGGCTTCTACCTATCATATCCATCAAAGCAAAATCCAGGGTTTCAATTACAACTGTTTCTCAGTGCGCATCACATCCCACCAGAAACAGCCAAGCGCGTAACGCCTAATTATAAAGATGGCCACAAACTAAAAGAAAATGTTTTTACTGCAACACCATAAACCTGTGTATGTCTTCGTGTGAGTGTTATCGTTGGATTTTTAATTTACCATTTATATTAATTCGACATCCAGTATTTTTAGGTTTCATTTAGGTGGTTTTATTTTATAGACGTAACAACAGGAGGCTGCCCTTCGCAGACAACTTACCCTATAAAGAGCAAGTTGAGGAAGGTATAAAGCTACTATAAAATGTTGCCATGTAATGCCAATGGATATTTCTATGGTTCAAGTTCATTGCAAGAGAGGCCCAAAGAAATTACTTGAGCAAAAAAAAAAATGCATATATATAAATAAATATCGGGTAATATAATAGAAAGTGTTTGACATTTTATTTCAGATGGCCTCAGAAGCAATATTTACAGTTATTTGGTTGTAGTGTTTATTTTCGTATCTCATTTTATTTGCTTAAGATTTTTGTTTTTGTTAATGAAAACAATCATGCCTGAGTACTGTAAGTACATAGTGTACAGTTAGTATTAGTTTTTTTACATCCATACCACACAAACGCGACTTTTCAGAGTAGCCTTGCTCTAGAGCGGCAACACAGGCTTGACGTCAAAGTACATGGCTGCCTCACACACTAACACTACGAGTTCATGATCGCAGATGGTCCAGTACGACGCACACCATGGTGCACACACTTTCACGTCAAGTATGAACCAGCAAGTACCCTTAGATCAGAGAGGCTGAGAACAGCTGTGCAGCTTTAACACCACATCAGGCACACGGTGCAGCATGCACAGGGAAAACAGGGCACTGCCTTCATTCCTCTGCAACTGGTCTAATGCGCAAGTGCTGAAAACCAGAAATTTCTAACATCTACATGGAGAAACTGAGAACAATACAGGTGTGCAGGGATGAAACCATGTGGGTTGGGGTGGAGATGGCATGGGAGGCAGGGGGGTGAATGGAAACCTCACTGTTGCTCCAAATACTTCAGGTTCAAAGTACAGGTACCCTGGGAGGAGGGGATTGGGGGGGGGGCCTCACCTCCGTTGACAACACGTTGGTCTGTTCCAGAGCTGGGACTGTAGTCGTGTGGGCCGGGGCGTGAGGAGGGCACACTGGGGCTACTCTGCACCAGTCGGGGGGAGTTCTGGCGTCCGGTGCCCCAAGACATTCCCTCTTTGTTCCTCTGCCCTGGGGGAATGTACTTGTTCTCTCTGCAATGGGGCGAGACAGACCACTGAGGTGGCACCTCATCTGAAAGACCCAGCGCGTCATGTAAGCTGGCAACTCATTCAAGCAGACAAAGCGTTCACCGGAGCATCAACCAGGGCATCAACCAGGGCATCAACCAGGGCATCAACCAGGGCATCAACCAGGGCAGTCTGATTTCACCCAAAATCAAACATTAATATCCAAAAGGACAAACAAGGTTTGATTATTAGGAATTTTGTGTTTATAGTGATGTCTTCCAGTCAAACTTATGGCATGCAACACTGCAGCTGCAGTGAGGGGCACCATGGTGGCCCTGTCATACGGGCAGACCCACCTGCTGCCCAGGCTGTGAGTGTCCCGTTCACTGCGCACCACTGCTGTGTACTTCTCCTCCTCGGTGCGAGCATCATTTTCCAGCGCCACGCGTGCCCGGTAGGAGGCGCTGGACTCTATCTCCTCGGCCAGCTGTGTGGCACGAGCCTCCCTCTTCAGGAACTCCTCAGAGTTGTCTCGCTCAAGGGGAACACTGCAGTGCAGGGACGGAAGGACGGACGGGGACACACACACACACTGATCATCTGGAAGGATGGAAGCAAACTCATAAGCAAAAGGTTCAAAAAGTTGTTTCTAAATCACACTTGGAGAAACAATCACTTCAGTTAAGCACCCAACTGCATACAGAGAGCAACAGAAATTTCTACTATACGTCTGTACTGGACCTTTACACTGATCAGACCACATCAATGCCAGCACAATATTACAGGGAAAAGCAGCTCAGAAATGCAGTGTGTGCAAATTGACTGGAGAGGAAAACTGCAGTTTCTCCAATAAAACCAGAAACAGGAGCAATGGTGGGAAAATATGGCGCAATGGTCACAATGCAATTTCAAACCGTGACGATAGCTGTGCAGGCGTGCAAACTGGGTGATCTGCAGTGCACAGTGAGAGGCAGGAAGATTCATGTACAGCATCGTGATTAGCAAATAACCCGTCTGATTACACCTGGCTTTGTGCAAATGTATACATGTATATATAAAATTTATAGAAGAGCCAACCAGAGCAATTAAATTATTGACCAATTTGATTAACTTTTCCATTACCAGTAGCTGACTGACAAACCACAAACTGCCCAGTACTTGCCTCCTTCTTGAACAGTTTGTAATAAAGAAACAAGGACTAATTTAACCAATCAATAATTAAAAGGTTGAAAATGAGAACAGATCGGCACTACCTCCCAGACAGAGTATGTAATACAACAAGTCGGGCTCCAGATGTGTCCTATAGAAGCAACGGGAACTCCATAAAGTGAGATGACTCAAGCTAGCTGGATACTCAAGGTTCTCTCAGCAAACCGGTTTCAGCAAAAAAACCCTCAGTCTAAATGTCACCCCACAGAAGGTATTTTGACATGGCACCTGGCAAATATTGCAACTCGAATACTGTAACTTGCTCCAAGCAGGTTTAAGTGCAGATGTTTGGTTACAGACAGGTGTAGCCTATACAAAAGCTGCTCTTTGATTAAACAGCAACAAACTTTGATTAAACCCCTTATTTTCTTATTGATTTTATAGTGCTATAATGCTATTTTGTGCCAGCCACTTTATGGCCCCTTTGCTGGAAGGGGGGGGGGGAGTATAGCTATTTCCATTCTTAGTCTGCAAAGCCCACATCACTCCCTTTATGTGAACACGCAAAGACCCTGATTAAAAGCCCAGAGTCAACTTACCGAGTTGATAACCACTATCGTAGTACCATTTTACACCAATTGTGACAAACAGCTAACCCAGCTCCATAGAGTTAAGCCCAATGGGTGAGTTAAGCCCAATGGGTGAGTTAAGCCCAATGGGTGAGTTAAGCCCAATGGGTGAGTTAAGCCCAATGGGTGAGTTAAGCCCAATGGGTGAGTTAAGCCCAATGGGTATGCAAACCTTGCTTTGTAGTTCCCCCTACGGGACTAGTTGAGCAAAGACGATTACTTTTGTAATTAAACCCTACGGCCAAATCTCTGTGTGACCCCAGACTTATCCTAGGATAACAAAAATCACGCAGGACGCTTCAACACCCAGATCATTTCCCCCTTTCAGATCGGTGGCAGACAGATCACCCTTCGGAGACACTCACGTGTAAGACGACATGCTGCTGTCATAGGTAGACTTGACACCGTAGGTCTCTTCGTTGAACTTGAACATTTCGTTGGGGTCCCAGCCATTAGACTGCCAATCAGAAATCAGTTTTGAAATGATTTTAAGTGGCCACAGGAAAAACCTGCTGACTGAAGTATACCAAGCCAAATTCCATTAAAGGAACAAAGTGACAGATAGAGTTGAGTCCACCATCAGAAGGAAGGGGGTGTGTCTTAGATGAGAGCTCATTGGCGGCACTTTTCAGCAGGTCATGGGATGCCCTTGTGTCCTCGTATGGGACAGTTAGTAACAGTGCAAGGAGGTTAGACAGCAGAGCACTGAGAATAACACCTCACCTGCCTAAAAAACTAACTTCAGATTCTGAGCACAGCTGGAAACCCACTCACCACATCAGTGTCGAGAGACTCCAGGCTGTCGGAGCCGTGCTGATCACCACCATCCCACGGCTCCAGGTCCTTCTCCTTGTGCTCCCCGTTTAAGCGGGCGCTGACGGCCGCATCTGTGAAGTTATCTACAGCATGTGCACATGCGCGTAGGGAAAGAGAGAGAATGCCATGGAAAAATGGCATGGAGAGGGGCCCGGGGGGGACAGCATCACCTGGACAACGACGACCAATTGGGGGGCAGCTCCAACAAAACAAATATCAGGCTTACAAGCGGAAACCATGCAATGCACAGCACCCAGATGCCGCTCTGCAGACATGGCCCAATCACACCACAGCGTTTCACACAGAGCCACCGCGCTAGAGGGTGTAACCCAGATAAGTGTAGCGCTTAGGAATGTTAAGGCACATTTTAACCATCAGAATCAGCTTTGCTCTGTTAGGGTCAAGCCACATCTGCCTATATTTAGGAACAGGTTTTAAAAAGCCACAATATGGAGGAAAATGTGCGGGTGACAGCTGATGTCTATCAACTAGTCAACTACACATCACTCTGCCTTAAGATTCCCTAAAGCCAGTCCTGGGGGGCGGGGGGGGGGAAGGGCAGCCACTTCACCACACGCAGGATGTGCTTCCTAGAAGTGTGTGCATAGTCTTTACAAAGACTATATTGTAGTTTAGGCAAGACCAGTATAAGGGTGGTTAAGAAAGTAAAGAACTCCATGATTTTCATCTAACAGTTTTAAATAACCAGACCCTACCCTAAAAGAACCAACTACCACACTTGTGTCAAATTCTTAAAATCCAGAGCTTTAAACATGGCTGAAGAAAGCCAATAGTTTAGAGAATGCCAAAAGCACACTATGGTGCTAATCAAGACAATTATGTATGACAGGGCACCAAAAAAAGTCTGTTATAGATCTTGAAATCCAAGACCTGCTCCAAAGAATTTCTACTTGGCATAGTAAACGGTCTTGCTCAAAATTCTGACTGTTACACAGAGGAGCAACTGATCTACCTCAAGGTTCTCAAAGCCTACCAGAGGACTGCTGTTTATAAACCAACACTGCATTACACAGCCTACTAGAAGCACAAACCAGTAAGTCAAACTGTTTGTGATACATCGCTGCAAAATAACTTCAGGCCTCACCATGAAAAACTCCAGCACGACATAGCAGAGTGGCAAGGCAATAACTGAGGACAAAAATGATTCCACCTGTCGGTAGGATCTGGGCCAAATGCTGCTCTGCTCAGTGCTGGCGTAGCAAGATGCTATCGATCAGCAGCTTTTTTTCCTTCATTTTCTCTGTGCCTTGTGAAAATGCTTTCAACAGACAGGGAAAGATCTTTACTGCATAAATTTCAGCCAAAACACACACTCATTTAAAATTACACAACACGACAATGACCCAGAGCCAGATCACCTGGGGCAAAGAGCTGAAAGAGATGAGAGTGCAGCACTATCCCAGACAGTAATCAGGAACACACCGAATTAAGGCAGAAGATGGACACTTTCACCAGTATATAAACTTATCATGCAATAAGGCATATAAATGATGCCAATAACAGCCAGCAAGTGCCACTAAGAGAACGGGCAGAAACGTCCCCACACTAAACACCAAGCAGGACAATAACGGGGTCATGCCAAACTGCTGAATATCAGTAACCATTTTTCTGGACAGACCCTTATTTCAACTGTCATTCTAGACAAAGGCACAAAAAGATGGTCTGCACAAAGCTGATGTTTTAAGACACAGTTCTTTGTGCCACAACACAGAGTGCAACCCTGGACCCTTTGCCATGTTGAGAGGTTGAGTCTCCCCACAATGACTAACTGATATTCTCAAGGCGAGTAAAAGGCATGGCAAAGCCGTATTAGCACAAATGCTACAAGATTAACTGATTTATGAAATGTCTTTTGGTGAGGAGCTAAATCTTGCACCAAGTTTTGGAAATAAACCCTTGCTAATTGCCCCTCATTGACACCATTTCAGAGGAAAATGCGTACCCATTTCACTGAACCACTAAAATGTAGAGAAGGTTCCAGAATTTCACTAAATGTATATGTTCTCCAATCAAAGCACTAAATTACAGACTCTCCCCTGCATTCTCAATTGACTTTAATTAATGCCTGAGCAAGAGTACAAATTTCTACCTCAGCAGGACTCTAACAGCACACATCATGACAGAAAGCTCTCAGCCAATAAAATGAAGAAAATCTCACGTGTGTCTACACTGCAAAACCTCCACATCTAGTGTTTTGATATGTGTTTATGTCTACAGGGAGGGGGGGGGGGGCTGTTGGTATGGTTTGATCGGGGTGTTCTTTCATATGTACAAAGGCAAAGATTAGCCACACCGATTACCAACTAGCAAAGAGACATGAAGTAGGTGTTAATGGACTGTCAGTCAAATGTGACTGAATGGACACAATGAGCCAGTGATTTTCTTTAAGATGCATATCAAGCTAAAACAAGATTGCTAGGCAGGCAAAGCAAATGAATCGGCAGAAGTGGGGCAGGGTGGAGTCATCAACTGGGTTTTTTTTTTTCTGAACATGCTTACAGCTATGGTGTGTCCTTGGCCTCTGAATTTATAAGGTCAAAGACACATCAGTGGAGAGTAAATTAGAGAAAATCAAGAGGGATGCCCAGCCACCCACCCAGCCACCCCAGAAACATCCAGTAAGAACAGACTGGGGGAAGTAGCTGCTGGATGCTTTAACAACAACAAGAGTGCGCAAGAGCAGAAAACAAAGAGTGTTACCTGCATCTGAAGAAACTACATTGATTACAGAGGGAAAAGACATTAAAGAAAAGGTCAGTGGGGTAGGGAAGCAGTGGCCAGCTTTCAGTTACAACTAACCCAGCAGTTTTTTTCCTCAGCTCAACAGCTTTACTCAAATATCAAAGCTGAAACACTTATCAGAAGACTGAGGAAAGATCACATTGATTTCTGTGGAACTTCAGTCAGAACAAACAATGAAGTCCAGTAAATATTCTCGCATCCTTCGTATTTTGCCAGACATTTTTCTTTAAATTTCTTAACTGTACAATATTATCAATCTTCTTACATTACTACATGCTGACTACATGAGAAACTGGCTGTCTAAACCATAGATGTAAATTATTTCAATCCACTAATAGCATGATTATGTGTTGCTAGTATGCTGTACAGCACTCAAATATTGCATGCCCCTTAAAAGTGAGAGCCTTCAGACTAGGTAGTTGTACTAGTCAAAGGGACATTTTCAGGTAGCATAAACATATACATGAAAGTGATTTGAAGCCTAGTGTTCTGCACAGCATAGCTTTTTCAGTGGATTGAATTCATGACGTTATGCTAATGAATCATCTAGCCTGCAAGAAATCTTGCAGAAATCTCTAGACACAACATTGCCCACTACACATTTTCCTAGGGTGGATGGGGGGGGCACATTAGACAAATCACAAACGTTCTCAGACGGGTGCCAGGGAAGCCTAACCTTTCCGGGCGTAATTGAGGTCCACGTCTCGAAACTGCACCACCACCACATCTGAGGCCTTGAAAATAATGCTCTCCACAATGTCCTCACGCCGTGGGCCCATGCCCTGCTCCAGACATCTCCGGTGAGCTGCATCCAGCACCAAGTCACACTGTGGAAAACGTGCAGCGTCACTTCGCCTGCACTGAGCAATGCAAGTACACACACACTGAAATGCATTGAGTCCTGCGATTCTGGTTGACTGCATAACCTTGATAAAAACAACCACACTACACATACATTTTTAAAACCAGATCTGACACAGAGGGGTCATGGACCCACGCTGGCACCAGGGCCTTAGACAATGGGCAATCATCTTTATAAGAGGAAATCTTGTGGATAAACAAGGTAAAAAGACCTTGGTGGTGAGGCGGTATATTTTGAAGTTTTGAACGTTTATGAAGCATAAGGATTTCATGCGTACTACTAATCTGCTTATCAAATTGCGGCTGTACATAAATGTCCATATAGCACCGAAAGGCTGGTTTCCGGACTGATTTCGCCCGTTATCTAAAGCCCTGTGATACCTCTACTACCAACACACAGTTCCTGTTAGAATCCCAGGGATATGCAGGTCATGATTGTGGTCTCACCTCTGGGCCATACGTTTTAAAAACTCCTTCATACACCACTCCATTTTTGACCTTCAGTTCACATTTGGTTCCCTGCAAAAAAGATCAGTGGAAAATTTACCTGTAAAAATCTCAAGTGTACAAATCCGATTTAATTGAAGTTCTGACCCCTTGAGTATATAACACAAAATTTCAAATGACACTGGTGATGAATTACCAAAATGCCATTTTCCCTGAACGCAAGGTCTTTGACACATCATGTAGCTGTGAAAATTCTGTACAACTGGCTCCACAAGATGGGGGGGGGGGGAAAACTTACGACAACTGAGGTCAGAACATGAACCATCCTCATGTTTGCATAAACGCCATTGAAGGCAATCTGAAATCCACGGAGAAAGATATTAACACAAAGGTCATCATTCAAATAAAATTCAAGTAATTTGAAACATGACAAACTTCATTCAAAACTTTAAATTAACTCAAAAACAATCCATAGCTTGATTCCTGATTGTGCAAGTGGTTGGCAGATTTAAAAAAAAAAAAAAACACAGCACTTACCGAAGAAGGACCTTTGACGCTATTTCTCCCTCTGTAAATAAGAACAAGCCATGGCCAATAGGGGTTAGATCTCATATACAAGAGAGATGAGATAAATATTCTAATAAACTCAGCAGACTGCCATGAGGCCTACGTCAAAGAAAAGACTCCCCAACAGATGAGTGATTCAAAGAAATTCACGAGTGAGACCTGCCACAGACCTACATGATACCAAAATATGGGATCTCAGGAATCCTGTCAGCTGTGTGTTACAGGAAGGATTACAGTAAGGGCATGGAATACTCACTCCATGCGCCCTCCTTCAATTATTTAACTATCTGGACCAGTTGATGACTGAATGGAGGCACACCTGGAGTTACTGCAAAATAGTAACTACAAAACACCTGAGATCCTTTTACCTATAAATTTCAGTTCTGCGACAACTCATGTGTGCTGAAGAATGGATTCATTCACACAGCACATCAGTGCTCACTGCGCCAATCAATGTGTTTTAATGGGTTTCTACCAAAACATGTGCACTAACATCTTTAACCTATAGATTTAAAAGTACATTTTTACTTGATCTGTTCAAAATTAAGTTGAAAATGTAAAAGATTCTTCAAAAGAGAATTAAATACACTATATTACTTAAAACCAAGACAATGAACTTTTCCAACTCTACAACATGGGGAAAATTTGTTCAAACATGTTATATAAATACTACACGTCATTACACATCTCATGTGACAAAATGTAATTAAAACACAAATTTAAAATAGTTTTCCTCTTAGCATAAAGATAGGACATTTTAAGTAACCTAAAAACTGCAGCTTACCCTGACAAGAACTGCTGCCATAAAATATAACTGCTAACCCCCCCCCCCCCCCCCCCCCCCCCCCCCCCCCCACCCACCACATTACTTAAAGCTTTATAGATGACCTGCTGGCCAGAATGCATAGCAGGGTGGCTCATGTGTAATTAATCGACCCAGAAAGATAGGAGACATGACCATGGTTCTAAGAACAACAGTATTGCGGCCCAGGCTGCCAACTTACCTCAATAAGTCGATATAATGATTCATGATACCCTCTGTTATAAACTGACAGGAACCACATGCAACATAAAATGTCCCGAAAAAGATACGCAAATCGATTATTTGGGTACACACAAATCGTCTATGCATGCCTTTAGAAAGAAGAGGGGACCCCCGTCAGGAGAATGAGCCTTTACAGTGCAAGGCACAATGTCCATAAGTGAGCAGTTCTAACAGCATGACTGTTAAGCACAATCACAACACAGACCATCTGTTCACACACAGTGACACAGGCCTTGCTTGAGAGGTGACTCTAAAGCAAGTCTGGTGATTTCCTTTGCGGATTCATGACTCTGAAACAGCTGTCCTGGAAAGCCAGAAAGTACTGCATGGGTGTCAAAAATGCCAATGGCAGCCACTCCACCCACAAAAAAAAACCTTCATTTGGGGTTTTTAAATTACTTTATCAGAAGATGGGGAATTCAATTTAAGCTTGATTAATCATATAACAAGCAAGAGTGACAGAAAATAGTGGAAAAATGTTACCAAAAGACTGGATTTTGATAAAACATGCAGCTACACTGGGGTTGCATTTCTGGCTTTTTCAGTTTAAGGGTTTCATTTGCATCTGGATTGCAGAGAGCGCTATTGGCTTATGCTTTACATCTTTTCTGCATACATGGCATTAACTGTTATCACGTTCACTCCATTCAGCTCGCTCATCCATTTAAGCCACTTCAATTCCTCACTATAAAAAAACGGCATCACTTATATACGATCAAGTTTTAACTAGAGAAGTTCTCATAAGTTTTTTCAGGGAAAGGTAGTTCTTTCCAAGAATCACAATTGAAAATGAGTCCATAGCAATCAATCATTTCATATGAACACAGTCAATTTTCAGTTCTACCGATTATAATGGCCAACAGTAATTCATTCCTTATCCTCTTCATTAACCCCACAAAAAAAAAGAGGATAAATTCATTGCTGGCTGCCGCATAACAGATCTGGAGTGCTTAGAAAACGTAACCGGTGATTGTCTGAAACTTAAAAAGCACTAAAATTAACTTGGATGTCAGGCTGTAGACGTTCAAGGGCACGGATTTTCATGAGCGGCTTCCCCATTGCCATAAAGCACACACTGTCGGTTTCCTGCCCAATGTGACCCCTCTGAATGGTGTCCTGGCTGCACAATTCAATAACTGCACTTTGATATTAATGCCAATAATGTCCATAATAAAAGTGCATCAGATGAAATCACACCATCAGTGACCTACAGTAAAACGCACCGACTGCGAAGAACCCACTGACCAGGCTAACGAAAACCAGCGAAACCTCCGGGTTTTTGTACAATATTAATTAAATTCAGTCACAAAAGCACTGAATACCTACACGGCTAGTTGCGATTTCATGTTTATCGTGGTTTTATACCCGTGCGTAACCCTATCGTATGTGTCTAGTCACAGAGAGACACCGGCTACCTTCAGCGAACATGACATTGCTGCCACTACAATCACGGATTAAAACATGTGAAACGCACCTGCTAAAAGGTTCACTTCGCACACTGCGTACCATTCAACCAGTTGTCTAACCATGTATGCAACCTTTTAGGTTTGTCAGACAGCTAACTAGCCGCACACGTAACCATTCAGCAGCAGTAGCAAACGCGCTAACTCGTTACAATGCTATGAAATAATGAATACAGGGCCGTCAGTGACTGAAAAAGTGCACACTTCAAAATGAGAATCAAGGTTCATTACGCACATAGAGAGGAGTAAAGCTGCAGCAAGGTTTGAATATAGTGTCAGAGAGAAACGCCACAGGACGCGGCCCGGCCTGCCGATGCTACGCGGCCAGTTCTAGGCCCACGCGGCAACATCTATATAAAACCACCATTACGGCCAAAGGCATAGCTTAAGCTGCGCATCCGCTTTCCTCCCAACGCGAGGGATACCGGTATGTGCGTGTCACATCGACACGAGTGGGTACAGACCATTCACGACGAGGCGCCTGAGAAAGCACCGACCTGCCCAAGTTTTGTCGGCCGCCGGCTCCTCCACCTCCTCCGGCTCCGGAGGCCGCAGCAGGTCCGCTGCCGCCGCCGCCGGGTTTACGGTTACCGCCGGCCTGCTTCATTGACATGATGATCCCATAAACGACCGCTTATGTCCTTTATTAACTATTCCCAAAAGATGACGCTCGGAAACGAAATACAAATAAAACACCAGCTAACGCTGCTGCCTCCTGTTAGCTAGCTAAATTACCAATTTCAAATGAAGCATTTATTACGATTATTTTAAAAAGTAAAGCGGTTCTTTAAAAAGACAATACGTCAGTCAAGCCAGCGACAGAAGCTAATATTTCACGTTCTGTCTAACTGATTTGTTTTCTTAAAACGAATTTATTATAAAGAGGATTCTCTGATATCTCGGTTTCGCTCTTCGTTGCTATCAGCGAAAAGACCAAAACACTCTGAAAGGAGACAAAAAAACAGCGGAGGGATATATTTGGGGCGCAACGCTGCTTTCACGCTCATATTCTCCTTTTTGTCTCTTAGTCACCTATAGAAGTAACTGTATTAAAAAGGAATACACTCAGTTTTAATGAAATCGAAGGCAAATCACATGGAAATCGGCTGCCACGTAGTTTAATTAGAGACACAGGCGACCGAAAAGTGGCACTAGTTACAGGAAGTCCAAGGATTACTATACGTGTGGCGGTGATCTGGCTACCACGTGAGCCGGTGCAAGTGCCGAATGGGTAGTTATTTTAATAGTTGTAGTTCACATTGATTAACTAGTGTGGCTTGGCAGAGGTGCAGAAATATGCGTTTTATTTCTTGATGCCAGGAATCTAACTACAAAATCATTAACGTCTAAACGGATCTCGTTGCAGCCCTGTATGGCGCGTGATATCACCTAAGTGCAAAGGTTCTCTCACAATAGCAAACCTGGTGCCAACAAATTACTGGCGCTGCAAAGTACCGTTTTTATATGGTGTACTACAACTTAACGCCAAAGCGGCAACTTACCGTACCGTAAAATAAATCTGTAGGTTGAATGAGTAAATATCTGGAGTTATCAGTAGGTTTAACATTTAATTAAGCTCCCCAAACTCCTGCTCGTCCAAACCCATAAAAGGAAAACGAAACCTGTCAATTAGATGAACTGACGCCACATTAATTCTACGATGTGTTAAAATGTGTGTAGTAATACTTGATCATGTACGCCTTTGTTCCAGTTTTAGTTCTGTAACATGAGTCACATACCCAGACACATGTACATGAAGGCGATGCTCTTTTCAGCTTGGCAAATCCAAAGGACAATCCAAAGGGATACTCATTAATCTTAAATGTAACTAGACGGCCCTATATGCATGTATTTGCATTAGGTGTTTTAGAGTTTAATATTACACCTCAGGCTGATATACTCTAAGCGTCCATTGGCACTCCACACAGACAAATGGGCTGATCATACAACAAATATGGATAGGACACACATGAAATTAAAAGATAGACATTTATACTGATCTAAAGCAAAATAAATATACACATATATAAATGAATTTATAACTTAACTTTTCTTTCCTAGATCTATTGAACATGTGTGCATATTATTTTATAGTTTTACCAGCATTTTTTTTTTATATACAAAATGCTGTACTTGAATTTAGTTTTGCAGCAATATGACAGTCGTGTTCCACACAACATATGCAAGAGGTCAGAGAACCAAAACAAGCTTCTTTAATCAGAAGGGCCCTCCTTTGTCAGCACCCCAATCCCCCCGCCCCAGCATCACACAACTTGACAGGAAATTAAGAGCACATTGCCTGAGTAACATCCCATAAACACTGGAAATGCATGACAGATTTTAAAATACTAACAAATAAAAAAACAAAATCAGTAATATGTAAGAAACCAATACCGCTGTCATACCAGAGAATTTGCATAGAATCAGGACAAGCTTAGTTCACTACATAAGACATGTTGTTCCCCCTGCTGATGTTCCCAATACCTCAGAATCTTTATTTTGTTAGCAGACTTACAGTGAGGATACAGTTGGACAGTAACGGCAGGAGCATCATGACTTTGGCTGATATATGAACGGCAGTATGTTCACAAGGTTCTGACCACGGGGATGAAATAAACATCGATGCCATTAGGCTTCCACAAAAAAGTACAATAATATTAGCAAGTAAGAGGCAGCTAGACTTACAAAGGATGAAGAACACAGGGGAACACAGGAAAATAAAAACAGAAAATGTGGAGACAGTGTCCCAGGGGAAAGTTCAATGCTTGTCATTCAGCTGGCCAGCACCTCCATACAAAAGGGGTGTATTAATAAACTCATGCCTCCCCCCATGAGTCTGCTCAGGACCTGCCCTCTTAACACCTTCTTTTTCCCCTATCAAGGGGACATTTATTTACCCTTTGCCCCACAAAACAATGAAGCAACAGAATCACACAGACATAAGGGGTCTATTTCCTTAGTAATCAGGTGACTTTGGAGTGGCGAAGCCTGGGCACCTCTTACAGTATATTGTTATTAAGTGCTACATTACTTGCCCCGTTTTCCCCGGCCCTTGCGGGTGCCCAGTTTTGTGGCACTGGTCCCGGGGGTAGGGCCAGGCGGGCTGGGGGCAGCGGCTATGTTGATCTGGCCCTCCTGAATCTCCTGCCGGGTGTCCTCAGGCATTTGACTGATCTGCTGCTGCGTCTCCAGGTAGAACATGAGGTCCCGGACCTGCTCCTGTAACTCGGCCACTCGCACCTCCTGCTGGGCGGTTGCCTCTCCTGCCCGACTCTCCTCATCACGAAGGCGCACCTGCAACTCTGCTTGGTTGGCTCGCAGGCATTTGTTCATCTCCTGCTCCTCCTTTAGCTCCTGGGACAGCTTGCTCACCTTGGCAGTCAGCTGTGAGCACCTGGCGGGGGTTTGGGGGCAAGGCAAGTTGTAGAAAATGGACAGAGACATTTAGCACAGAGCGGTGTGGAGAACAAAGCCAGGTGTGGGACAATTGGGAAGAGAAACATCTATAATAGACCATAACAGATACCGGTTCAAAAAATCATCACTAATCAATTAATTATCAATTATTCAATCAACAGTTATTCAATTACTCAATCAACAGATAGTCAATCAACAATTACTCAATTACTCCCCAACAGATAATGGAGTATAAATTCATTCTTTTAAGTACATTAAATAAACAATGCAATAGTGAACACATAATTGTTATACAATGAAGCTACAGGCACAGGGAGAATAATTCAATACAAATTCAACCAGGGTTTAATTGTGCAAGCATTATAAACAACAAACAAACAAACAAACAAACAAGCAAGCACACTTACTAATTAAGAGATAAACAGAAACTAGACAAGGCTCCAGCTGGTCACAAAAATCAATAACTGGAAAGAAGCTTAATGAAACACTAGGCATGACAGTGCCCCCTGGTGGACAGGATCTTACTTCTTCTCCATGGACTGCCTCTCCTTGGTGACGTCTGCTAATTTCCTCTCCAGACTGTCACATTTCTCTATAGTCTCCTTGAATTTTGCCTTCATGTTGTTGATCTGCATGTAATACAATGACCTATTGTCAAAGCAGAAGATAAACGTAGAGGCTAATTTAAAAAAAAAACCTAGATTAAGGCAGCCTGGAACTATGAGTAATTAATTATCAGCTGTTTCCTAAAGAAATTGATTAATTTGCAGCACAAAAATACAATAGGCACAATGGAAACTTTTTAATCTAAAATACCTTTCAAATAAAAATTAAGAATTGTTTACCTCATACTAAAGTAAGAATTTGCCTGGATAATCTAATTCTCCCTAGTGGAGATAAAAACAATGAATGTCATCATTCACTGCTCTCTTATCTCATACAATGTTTCACAAAAATACAGAATATTCTGAATACACAGGGGAAAATCTAATTCCAACCTCCTCTGCAGTATCTTTTTCCAAATGAACGATTTTATTTTCCCAGTAGATCCGCTGGGATTCCAGCTGACTTGTCAGCAAGTATGAATACTGGGCAGAAAACAGGAAAATGATTCAGTAATTAGTGTCGTAAACCACACACACATGCAAAATTATATATTTCATATATAATTATAATTATATATAAAATATATATACACACATATATACATACACACATATACAGACAGATAGATACTTTATAAATCTCAAAGGAAATTTATTTATATGAATATTTCCCTAATATTCTTGTAGTTTACAGTGGTCACTGGCTCTGGCTGGACAACATCTGAGAAGGCAGTAGATGCCAGCTCTACCTCCAGCTGCAGGGCGTCAATCTTCTCTTCCTGACAGGAATCCCCTTCACACTCGTACTGCACCATCTTACCATCTGTTTTACATGCCACCAGTCGGTGGACGTAGTTGTCTGAAAAATGCAGAAACTGGCCATTAACTTGACACTAGCAGTCATGATCCTTCTGGTACAGCAGCTAGCAGCTGATGTGGTCAAGGGTGGCTATTAATGTGAAAAAGTACTTCCAAAAAATCATGGAACAGCTCTAAAGGCATTAATTAATGTACAAAGGCAATGCAAAGCCTATCTTTGAACTGCATATCCAGTGCAGGGTTCTGGGGGGGGGGGGTTCACACAGACAGCATAGTATACACAAGTGAGGTGCATCCTCGATGGGATGCCAATACATCACAGGGCACAGGGCTGGGGTACAGCCTGGATGGGATGCCAGCCCATCACAGGGCACAGGGCTGG